TCTCTTGATTGAAACGTCTGAGATTTGATGAGATGTGGGAAAAACGCTTTTTTCAGGACAGAGTTGAAATACTTGGAGCTGTTCCACCTGCTTTAAGTGCGATCCGTGCTCGTATCCATCTGTCTTATCATACTTTTCTGAACAGCATTGTTGATTACCATAGAAGCGGAAGGTGTGAAGATTTACACACATACCACTCCAATTCTTATGTATTTACTTATCTAATACCTTAATTTCAATATTTACGTACATTCTAATGCAGAATCTGATGCATATAATTAAAAGAAATTTAATCCGTATAAAAGTCAACTTTTGAATGAAAAGTAATTGCATAGTTAATAATAACTCTTAAGAACTATTTATTGAAAAAAGAGCGATAATTTTCAGAACTCTCACGGTTAAAAGCTAAGAAAACCATGACTACTAACTTGGTAATAGAATTTTTACAGATCCAAACCTCTCTCTTCACTTAGCAGAAGTTGGCCAAACTAAGCATAACATTGATAAAGCATTTCATGATCCATAAGCTTTATATAACATTATTGTGTAATACAGCTCCAGGTTTTCAACCAACCATAAGTGTGCAAGAGTCAATAGAGTTTTAAGCAATTAGGAGGTGATTCTGCCATGATGCACACTGTATGTTATATAGATTTGGAAGGCCCTCTCAAACAGATTTTGCAAAACCAATCTGTTCATTTCCGAAATCAAAAATCGTGTGGTAGGCACCCATGAATACATCTCCGAGGATCCTACAAAAAATATGCCAATATGAGAAACAATTTAAAAATATTTACATACATATCACTCGATTCTTATGTATTTACATGCCTAACACTTGAACTAATATGTAGCTACATTAGAATTAGAGGGTAAGCATGTAAATGTGGAATGCCCCAATAATTTAATATGATTCGCTTAATTGCTTTATAGGAACTAGTATAGTTATGGGTGCATACCAGAGGGGCCCTCTTGGCGGAGGTAGGTCAAATGCCATAAATCCGCTAAGGCAAATGGAGGTGCCTGCCTGTTCCACCTTTAAGACATACTGGAAGGGAAAAAAATATGAGCAGTTATAATTAAAAACTTGATGGAAGTCTATTAGGGAAACAAGCTATGAAAATTGTAATATTACCCTTTTTTAATGCACATGTAATTTAAACATGTAAGTTTAGGGGCTCTTTGGCAAGTTTTGGGATTCAGGTTCATAGGATTTACTAAATCTTGTAAATCCTGATTTCAAGTAAATCGTCCCAAAAACTATTTCGAAGTGGATTTAATAAATTCAACTAACTCCTATGAAATTGTTGGACAATTTCTACTAGGTTTTAAAAAACTGTTAGGATAGTTAAGAGTTCTAAGCAATAATTTAAGATGTATCAATTATTAATTAATTAGCTATTTATTATAATAATTAATAATTATTTAGAACTTTATTAAAAAAATTAAATTTTAATATGTAATTTTCTTATTAATTAATTATCAAATAATTACATATAAATTTATAAAATCATAATTAATCTGATAATATATATATATATTAATTATTCATTATTAATTAATTAAATTAATAAAAATAATTTAAATAAAATGAAATTAAAACCACATAACCATCTTCCCTTTCCCTAAACCATCGCCTACATCCCTCCCCCTCCCGGTTTCGCCCAAATCTATCACACCCTCGGGATAGAGTCACAATTAGAGCTAGCTAGGAAGGAAACTACCGGATCAAAGACTACAATAACTCATCTTTCTCCTCCTTCCACACCCGAAACCAGTGAGAAATGTGAGACTTCTTGTTCAGTTCACGCGGCGCTTTCATTTACTTTGCGCATTTATGGATTTAATAAATCCGGCGAAATCAGGCTCTCTTAAATCCAAAAATTTGACTTGTCCAAAGTGACTGTGTGACAGGATTTAGTCTAAATACTTTACCAGACAACTTAATTTGCTTTAAGCTTAATTTTTGTTTAAGAAAAGATTATGTTAGATATGGCTCATATACCATAAATGGCCAGATTCTGGAGCGGAGCAGAGCAGAGCGTAAGATTCTGTCCAAATCAAGGAAGTTTCCTTATGTGAGTTGGGGGTGTGGTACAGGGGTAATTTGATAATTACATATTGTACCCAAAGTTTTTGTTATTGTTTTTTTTAGGGTTATAAATAGACTTGTATGTAACCCTATGTGTTATCTCATATTCTGTATTTTATACTATTTTTTGAATATTGAAAGAAAAACGCCGCTCTGCTCCCGAGGACGCAGACATCTTCCGAGTCTCGTTAAATCTCTTTGTGTTCTTCTGGATTTGTGTCGATTCCTGTTTTTCTTCGCCTTAATTTCTCAACAATTGGTATCAGAGCGAAGTTCTAGGGCAGGGAAGAAAACTTTCGGCGGCACAGGAAGCAAGAAGAACGATTTGGGGATTTGGAAGAAGAAGTTCAAGTGATTTTGTTGCAGGTTTGGGATCTGCGACGAAGGAAAGGGCTTCAGTTTGGAATCGCGGTATTCAGGAGGCAGTTCCAAGTTCGGCCGAAAGAAGACGCTTCAGCCATTCACGCGCAGAGGAGTTCGGCGTTCAAATATTGCGAAGCAGTTTGGCCAGGCCTTTCTGCGACCACTATAGTTTGCAGATGCAGATTCGGACGCAGGCCAGTTTTTGCGCAACGCAAATTCAGAGCAGGAGTTCGCAGACGCGAGCAGCAGAGTTAGCGAATCGCGAGAGAAGAGAGCTCGCGAGAGAAGAGAGTTCGCGAGAGGAGGTCGACGAAGGGACTTTCAATGCAAACACCAGTTCAACGATGTAGCCACAGAGGAACAAGGAGGCGGTGGAAGCTGCAATCGAAGGAGAAGAAATTTTGGAAGAAATTTTTTGATTTGATTTGATTCCATTTCCTGAAGGCGGGAGATTGGTTTTCCGATTTGTTTCCTTGTTGGTTCTTGGAAGAGGGATATTGGTTTCCTGAAGTAGAAGATTGGTTTCCTTTACCCAAGGCGGCAAAATATTCCTTCGATTGTATTTCTTGGTGGTGCACACGGTGCTATTCCAGGACGTGGAAGCAGGGAACAGGTGAAGGATTTTGAAGGAATTTAAAAAAAAAAAAAAGTTCATTGCAGGATTAATTTTCATATGGCAATTTTTTGTGCAAAATTCGAGGTAGTGAAGTTTGATGGAACTGGTAACTTCGGATTGTGAGAAACAAGAATAAAATATTTGTTGGCTCAACATGGAATCTTGAAAGTTTTGCGGGCAGCAAAATCAGATGCAATGGAGGATGAAGATTGAGAAGAATTGCAACAACCAGCGGCAGCAACCATACGCTTGTCTGGCAGATGAAGTTATGTATCACATGATGAATCTGAAATCTCCAGTGGAGGTATGGAAGAAATTAGAAACTCAGTTTATAGCTAAATCTCTAACAAATAAATTGTATCTGAACAAAAGTTGTATAGGCTGAAGATGCAAGAAAGTTCTGATTTGGTGCAGCATGTTAATGGCTTCAATCAAATAATCACAGACATGTCACGACTTAATGTGAATATTGAGGATGAAGATCGAGCAATAAAATAATTTTGTTGTCAATAATTTTGTTGTGCTCATTGCCCTCTTCCTATGAACACCTGGTGAATACTATTATATATGAGAAAGAAATTATCAAAGTTGATGAGATTACTGCAGCATTGTTGGCTCACAACTAGCGGAAGCAGAATGCAGGGAAAAGCTCTCATGACGACAGTTTATATGTTAATGGTAAGCAGAATCGTGAAACGAAGAAAGAGAATGAGAGTTTTGGAAAGCGAAATTCTAGATCAAAATTCAAAGTCAAAAATACAATTCATTGCTACAAGTACAATGAGTCAGGTCATATAAAGAGAGATTGTCAAAAGCTTAAAAAGCAAACTGGGGAGAAAGATGATAGATCATCAAAGACTGTAAATGTGGTGCAGAGTGACAATTCAGATTGCAGTGATGACGATCTATTTTCAGTTTCATCAACTCAGTTCACGGATGCATGAATTCTTGATTCAGGATGCTCTTATCACATAACACCTAACAGAGAGTGGTTTACTTCATACAGGTCAACTAATTCTGACTCAATTTATCTAGGTGATGATTGATGGTACAATATTGTTGGTATTGGAGAAGTCAGGATTAAGATGTATGTGATGTCAGACATATTTCAGATCTGAAGAAGAATTTGATTTCTTTGAGCATTTTACATAGAAATGGTTTCATTCCTAAGGCAGATGAGGATACGAAACCCATCAGAATTGTTAAAGGTGCACTGACGGTGATGAAAGAAAAGTTAATTGTAGGTAATATTTACAAACTGTTGGGGAGTACAGTTGTAGGGGGAGTTCATTATGTGGTCTGGGTCATCTCAGTGAACGTGGGATGGCGGAAGTGCATAAAAGAAACTTGTTGCATGGTGTTAAAAGCTGCAAGCTCGATCTTTGTAAGTTCCGTGTTATTGGAAAATAGACTAGAGTTAGTTTTATGACTGGAAAACATAAAACTGAAAGGATTCTTGATTATGTGCATTCTGATGTATGGGGCCCTACCAATGAATAATCATTGGCGGAATCTTAGTATTTTGTTATCTTTATTGATGATTTCTCCAGGATAGTTTGAGTGTATTTCTTGAAACAGAAATATGAAGGCTTTTCTAAATTCAAACTGTGGAAAGCTGGGGTGGAGAACCAAACTGATAGAAAGATCAAGTATTTGAGGTCCGATAATGACACAGTACACAGATTCGTAGTTTCAGAAGTTCTGTGAAGAACATGGGATTCATAAGCACTTTTCAATGCACAAGACAATACAGCAGAATGGTGTGGCAGAAAGAATGAACGGGTCATTATCTGAAAGGGCAAAATGTTTGAAACTGAATGCAGTGCTTCCTAAAAGTTTCTAGGCAGAGGTTGTGAATATAACATGTTATCTCATCAATAGATCACCTCGGACATCGTTGGGTGGTAAGATCGCAGAAGAGGTATGGACAAGTAATCCAGTTAATTTTGATCATTTACCGATTTTTTATTGTCCTTCTTATGTGCATGTAACTGGAGATAAAGATAAAAACTTGATGCAAAATCGAAGAAGTGCATCTTTCTGGGCTATAAGAAAGGTGTGAAAAGATACAAGTTTTGGGATCCGATTGCAAAGAAGATTGTGATCAGCAGATATGCAGTTTTTTATGAATAGTCCATATTACAGCAGAATCAAGGCAATGTGCAAGGGAACAGTTTTGGTTCAGATGCAGTGCAGATAGATTTAGAACAGCATCCATAAACAATTGAGAGAGTTGAAGGTTCAAATCCAACACCTGGTGATTCCATCCCAGATGATCTGCAAAATTATAATCTAGTCAAAGACAGACAGAGACGCACCAATATAAGGTCTCCTAGCAGATTGGGTTATAAAGACTTGGTATCTTGTGCACTTCTCATCAACAGCAATGATCCAGCCACTTTTTAAGGATTTATCACTAGCCAAGAGAAAGAGAAATGGACAGGTGCAATAGTTGAGGAGATGAAGTCTTTGCAGAAAAATCGCACATGGGAGCCAATTCAGCTTCCTGAGAAAAAGAAGGCTATTGGGTGCAAGTGGGTGTACAAAAAGAAATCAGCCGTATCAGAAAAAAAAGAGGAAAAGTTCAAGGCTCGACTGATAACAAAGAGATTTTCACAGCAGAAAGGGATAGATTATGATAAAATCTTTTCTCATGTGGTCAAACATACTTCAATAAGGACAGTGCTTGCATTAGTAGCTATTTGGGATTTTCATTTGGAGCAGACGAATGTTAAAACTGTTTTCTTGCATTGTGATATGGAAGAGCAGATTTACATGGAGCAGCCAGAAGGGTTCAGTCAACCTGGACAGGAGCATCTGATTTGCAGGTTAAAGAAATCGATGTATGGGTTGAAACACTCCAGGACAATGGTACAAGCGGTTTGACTCCTACATGATTCAGATCGACTACAAGATATATGAGTATGATTGTTGTGTTTATGTGAAGAGCCTTGATGATCGTTCTATTATTTTTCTGTCGTTGTATGTTGATGATATACTGATTGCTGCACAGAATATGAATGAAGTCTGTGGTTTGAAAGTTTTATTGAGCTAGAAATTTGACATGAAAGACTTGGGTCCTACGAAAAAGATTCTTGGAATGAAAATTCATCGAGACAGAGACTCAAGGCGATTATGTTTATCTCAACGAGGCTATGTCGAGAAAGTGTTGAACTGACAAGTTTGAGATGAGTAAAGCAAAACCTGTAAGCATTCCTTTGGCAAATCATTTTAAGTTTTCTTCATAACAGTGTCCTAAGAAAGATACAGAAATCGAAGACATGGCAAAGGTACCATATGCCTGTGCAGTTGGCTGCTCGATGTATGCAATGGTATGTACTCGTCATGATTTGGCTCATGTTGTTAGTCAAGTCTGCAAATACATGTCTAAACCTGGAAGACGACATTGAGAAGCAGTCAAGTGGACTTTCAGGTATCTGAAAGGTACTGTAGGACATGGAATTAGTTTTTTGCAGTCAACAGGATGATCCTTCAGTTGTGGGGTACGTTGATTCTGACTATACTGGTGATTTGGATGACAGAAGGTCTACAACTGGGCACGTGTTTACTCTTGGTGGAGGGCCTATATGTTGGAAATCAACAATTCAGTTTATTGTGGCATTATCTACAGCTGAAGCTGAGTACATGGCAGTAGTTGAAGCTGCAAAAGAAACTTTATGGCTTGCTGGGCTAGTAAAGGAACTGGGCGTTGAGCAAAGTGGAGTTCAGTTGCATTGTGACAATCAGAGTGTTATATATGGCTATGAACCAGGTGTATCATGCGAGAATCAAGCACATTGATGTCAGATATCACAAGATCAGAGAATTGATTGCTTCTGGTGAGATACTATTGCAGAAAGTTCATACTGATGAGAATGCAGTTGATATGTTGACCAAGCCAGTTACTATCAATAAGTTCAGACTTTTTGAATATTTGCAGTTGCTAGAGAAGCATGGTAGCTCAACTTACTTCTGGTATGTAAGAAATTTCATGACGTATTTCTCCTAAAGGGCTGAATATTCGCCAAAGTGAATATTTGTTAGATATGGCTCATATACCATAAAGGGACAGATTCTGGAGCGGAGCGAAGAAGAGCGGAAGATTCTACCCAAATCAGGGGAGTTTCCTTATGTGGTGGGGGTGTAATACAAGAATAATTTGGTAATTACATATTGTACCCAAAGTTTCATTTATTGTTCTGTCTAGAGTTATAAATAGACTTGTATGTAACCCTAGGAGTTATCTCATATTTTGTATTATGTATTATTTTTTGAATATTGAAAGAAAGCTGTCGCTCTGCTCCCGATGACGTAGGCATCTCTACCGAACCTCGTTAAATCTCTTTGTATTCTTTTGAACTCGATTCTTGTTTTCCTTTGCCCTCATTTCTCAAAACATTAAAAAATAGGCAATTGGAAAAACAAAGTTAATACTTATAAAAGATAGCTAAACCGCTTCAAACACCATGGTCCATGATCTGTACCAGTAGATTCAGATACACGTCCCAGTTAATGAGGGAAATGATAGGTCCAAAAATGCGGTCAAGATAAGAACTCCACAGAAACAGGAGTTCAAGATAGAAAAAGCAAGATTCTCTAGTGTCAGTCTAAAGGAGTAAATCAATTTAGGGTAAGGCTTTCTGCTTCCAGTTGTAAACTTTTTCAATCCAATTGTCTTTAGAAGGGCAGAACTTTAATTTTGAGATGGGTGCAATATATGAGAAACAATCAAAATTTGTATAGTACAATTCTCAAAGTAAAATCTAATGATTTTGAAACTAATCTTGATGAAAATTTGACCCAAAAACAGTTTTTTTTTTCCAGATTTCAGACATTCTTATGTTTTCATTAGAGTCCTATTTTTAAGCCTTCTCTTAAACTTCTCATTTCTCATTTTATTCCCTTCGACCATGTTCTCAGTTCTCTAAATTTATTCTTCCTCTAATGTGTAGTTATTCACAAGCTTGTTCACTAAATTTTCTTCCTTTTTTTAATCTTAATCATCTTTCATTCCTAGTTTATAATTCAAATTTATTTTTTTTTCCTCTATCATGTTTCTTTAAGCTTTTCTTACCCTTCATTTTCTATCACCTACTTTGCTAGTTTTCCAATCGGACACTGCAAACAATACGAAATATGATGGATTGTTAGTTACAACGGACCCCTGCTTCTCTGAGATTAGACTACACGTTTTCAACTATGCAATATTAGTTACAAAATAAGACAAAAAGGAGAATTAGCAAGATCAGAATAAATATGTTCATATTAAACCATAGAAATTATCATAAGCTTGTAGCATACCTGTTCTGGAGTAAGAACAAAGCTTTTGTCTGCAATTGTAAAAGAGATATCTGGCAAGCTTGATAACTGAGAGCAGTCCACAGCTGATTCCCCCATGGGACTTGGAAGCCGTCCACATAGCTTAAAAAGATAGTTACATTATCGAGAAAATCAACCATTTGAAGAAAAAATTATAAAAAAATATAATATTTTCTATAAATATAAATATTTATTTGTGTGTAACATAATTAGCCTTAGCAAACCAACCTCATTAGCATAGTTTAGTATTAGTTCCTCAGTTTGATTCTCCCGAAGCTGATTCTTAATCCATACTACAGCCATTTCACAAGCAGTGCAGAACAAATCTTCATTACGAGAAGAAGAATTCACGTTTTCCTTGTCAAGCACAGATTTAATGCCAGTACTGTACAAAAGACCTCAATACAATGAGCAGAAAGGGAGGAGAAATCAATATCCTCAACAGAATAAAAAACAACAGTTCTGACAAACCTGGCAGGTAGAGTTCCATCAAATACACATAGGCCGATTTGGCTGCATACCTTTCCTGGCCGTGTCTGAGCGAGCAGCCATACAAATTAGAAATAGAAAAGGTGGGAGGTAAAGTTATGTAAAGTGCAAACCTGTGCAATGAGGAGGTCCAATATCATCTTCCCGTATTGGTCAACAACTTGTTTGCATTCAATACTGACAACGCCTTCCGCACCGATGGCGTGATTCACTTGTGCAATAATCGTCTGGTAGAGAAAGAAAGGACGAACAAGTAGCACAAAAGAATTTATTTGAAATTGTAGCAGTAAATGGAACAGTAAATCATATCATGCTTTAAAATTGAGTGAAAGAATGCAGGCTATATCATTAAGCAATAAAAAGGTGTGCAAGGAGATATATATATATTTTTTTTTTGAAAGCACAAACGCTAATATATTAAATAAAAAGTAAGGTATAGATAGATTTTGTGGAAGGTCCCAAACATGGTACCCAGCCCACACAAAAACCGCCAAATCAAATGGTTCCAAAAAGAAGAAAATACAACAAAAAATATAAGAGATCTAAATAAAAAACCAAAATGTGCCAAAATAAGAGTATCAAGTAGCTGAAGAGCGACCCGATTTTGCCTTGCCTCTGCCTCTAGTTTTAGGGAAGGAGCTAGATAATAAATTGGTATGTAGCTGGTGAGCGACCCGATTTTGCTTTGCCTCCGCCTCTAGTTCTAGGGAATGAGCCAGCTAAGAAATTGGTCAGATGAGTGTCATTGCCAGTAGTAACCTCACTTGAGTGAAAGAATGCAGGCTATATCATAAAGCAACAAAAAGGTGTGCAAGGAGATATATATATATTTTTTTTTTGAAAGCACAAACGCTAATATATTAAATAAAAAGTAAGGTATAGATAGATTTTGTGGAAGGTCCCAAACATGGTACCCAGCCCACACAAAAACCGCCAAATCAAATGGTTCCAAAAAGAAGAAAATACAACAAAAAATATAAGAGATCTAAATAAAAAACCAAAAAGTGCCAAAATAAGAGTATCATGTAGCTGGTGAGCGGAGTATCATGTAGCTGGAGAGCGGCCCGATTTTGCTTTGCCTTTGCCTCTAGTTCTAGGGAAGGAGCCAGCTAATAAATTGGTCAGATGAGTGTCATTGTCAGTAGTAACCAATGTATCATTCAATAGATTTCCTAGCTCGAGTCGTCCTCCGTTTTTTTTCTTCCTCCTCGTATAGACCTGCCATTCCTAATCCGAAAATTGTCTGACCTGATCAGCAGAATGGTCCGAAGTGTGCATGATATGTGTAGGTTGTTGAACATTAGAAACAACTACTTGTTGTACCAGTTGATCTTCTATCGGGTCAAAGGAGCACTCTCGTGTGTCTTGGCATATAAGTGGGTCTTCTTCAATAACAGGAAGTGGTATCAGCACATTTGGATCTGTACATGTAGTAAGGTGTTCTTCATGTTGAACTGCGATGTTAGAAAGAGGATCAAATTGGAATTTCTCAACAAGGATGGTAGGCGGCTGATCTTTAGTGATATTCGGCTTTAGATGAGGATGCAAGCAATAGCAAATAGTAGAACTATGACCAAACTTACTACAATGAGAGCAATAAGGAGGATGTGGCTTTATTTCAACCTTTTGCCAATACCCGTTGTGAATAGTGTCAATCCCTATCTCATCCGGAGCTGGTTGAGTGATATCACTCTCAACTAAAACACAAGCCACAGAGGGTCTGGTGACAGCAAGCGTAGGACTATCCACCTTGAGAGACTTACCGTAAGCAGTTGCTAAAGAGTAGAGGATTTTCATGTTGAACAGATGTAATTTTAACCCCCGAAAACTTTATCCAAACATGAATGATAGGGGACTCCGCTTTTGAATCAAAATCGAAAGTCCACTTCAGAATTTTTATAAAACGATTGTCGATCTAGATAACTTTTTGAGAGAAAATGCGAGTGTAATCAACATCGTGAGATAGCTGAATAAGTATATGTCGACCGTCTAGTTGACCAATGTTCCAACTGCCCAATAGTTTCACAGCATCAAATTCTTTCCTAATGATTTCCAGTTTTTGGTGACTATAAAGGAATTTCCCCACTAGATACAAACACCAAGAGGACGCTAGAGCACCAGTTTCAAGCTCAGTGAGAATAAGTGCAGACTTCTCATTTTTTTCCCAAGTCTTTTAATAAAAGTGTGATCACCGGCACCTTCAAGAGCCTCGTGGTACGATTGCGGAACATTGCAGGACTTATCGATAGCAAAAGCAGGCTCTAAACCTGGAGGAGGGGCACGAGCAGAAATGGGCAAATCGTCGGCAAGGGCATTTGCATAGGAACGGAGCATCGATGTCATCTTTGGTCACAGTCAAGAAAGAAACGGCCTGACGGGTTGCAAGGAAGCGAGGGGGTTAAATTGTTTGGCAGCATCGAACAGAGATGACGCTAACTAAGGGAGCTGCGAGCGACAGAGGCTGCGAAGCAGACAGAGGAGCTGTCGGGCGCACACCAGGGAAGCAGCATCGAGCAGAGACGACTCGAGCTAAGGGAGCTGCGAACGAACAGAAGCTGCGATCGAGACACCAAGCAATATCGAGATGACGACGCGAGCAATGGAGCGATGCTGAATCGAGACACCAAGCAGTATCGAGATGACGACGCGAGCAATGGAGCGATGCTGCGAAAGAGACGCCGACGCCGACGCGAAAGAGACGTCGACGCCGACGCAGACGCCAGTATGGAGCGAGAGTCGACGATGCGAGGTCCTTTCCCTTCGAGCAGTAGAATCAATTGCGACTGAAATCACCATTGAAAGCCCGGACGGACATCCTGCTTATATATATATATATAACATGCGCCAAAAATGCTAGCATCAACCTCAAAACAATCAACGACCTAGGATGACAGTCAGGCAATCGAAGCGACAAGCTGAAGAAGCATTATTTGAACAAATCGTTCGATGACCAACTGCTATATTTTTGTCAAGGGATTCAATTGGCGGACCACGTTTATGGTTTCAACTGCCCAAACCTCTATCAAGGGGACCCGATCAAGACAAGTCAATCGATCGGCTTTGTCTGGCAGGAGTGATCGTCAAGCAACTAGTCGCCCTGGTCAACCGAACTAAAATGCATCGATCTACTAATGATTGTTGTATTACAATTAAATGACAATACGAATCTAGTATTAATTTAGCTCACTAACTGCATTAAGGGCGGTTTCCAGAACTGCTTCATCCTTTCTATAATTGTACAAAAAGGCCCCCTATAAATAAGAGGTCCAAAGACAAATAAAGAGACTTTTCTCCCTGACTCCTTTCTCAAGAATTCTTTATCGGCTCCAACTCTCCATGCGTGTTTTATTTGAAGGACAGTTTAGGATTTAGCATCCTAAAAAGTGGAGCGGTGAGCGTGAACATGCCCTAGACAAGAAGCAGAGCAAATTATGAAGTAAAATTCTGCAGAAAAACGTAGCTTCCATGGAATTCAATAGAGAAATTGTGTGACAAGATATCCAAGAAGAGATTCAAGAGCTTCAAGCGCTAATGATGGGCCAGTTTAAAGCCCACAGGGCGGTGATGATCCAGAGGAACAATAAACGCCTCTCTTGGAAGGAGAGTCTCGGGGAACATGCTCCCTGAGTTCCTCGTCAAAATCTGCTCGCGTCCAATGATAAGGCTGCAAAAAAATCGACCGAAGAGCAGGGGGACTTCCAACTCGCAGAAACTGCGGCGTCTACACTGCTAGTCAGGCACTGGACGGATTGCCTGCCTGACCGATTGCAGGCATTGCTTTCTCCCATTGGATTCTGGAAATTATACCCCCAACGAAACTGAGAATTCCCCACCTGGAACCCTACAGGGGGAAGAACAATTCAACTGACCACGTGGCTTCTTTTGAATCATCAATCAAAATCTTATAGATCGATAACAAGATGAAGTGCAACTTTTACTGACTGCATTGAAGGAGGTCGTACTTCAATGGATTAACGGCCTTTCGGATGGAATCATTCCATCCTTCAATGAGCTCGAAAGACTCTTTTTGGCGCACTTCACCAATGTACAAAAGCCGAGGAAAGACATTGAAACCTTGCTCCAAATCAGGCAAGAAGAGAACAAAAGCCTGTGGGCCCACAACACTCGATTCCATAAGAAATCCTGGAAGTAAAAAAAAACCTAAAGCCTCTCATCGCCCGGACTGCCCAGAAGCAGGAAAACCGTTGCCAACAATTCAGGTATAACCTGAACTTGCTCAAAGGCAGGATATTTCGCCGAGATTTTGGAACTAGTTAACGACCACCGATAACAAGTTTATGGATTCCTCAAGAACCAAAACCAGATTCATCTGGCCGTCGAGGGCAGAAGCAGAAGGAATAGGATGATGAGAAAAGGTAGAAGTGCAGTCGGGCCACTGATGGCCGACAAAACAATAAACTCTGGTAGCGGCAAGGGTCAAAGGCATCACGTTGACCACGGGTCAGCCACTACTATGAGCGACCGTACGTACAACGCGAAATGTGGGATTCGACAACCCTGAATGTGTCGATAGTTAAACTAGTTCAGGCTATCCAAAACAAGGACTATTTCAGAAAGGCCCCTCAATTGAAAACTGCACTGGCCCTTTGCAACCCGAACAAGTATTACGCCTATCACCAAGACTATGAACACAATACGGAAGAGTGTCGCCATCTCAAGAATTTGGTGGAGAAACTCATCAAAGCCAGAAAATTGAAGGAATTCATTGATATCGGCAGACACATGCGGCAACAAAGGAAGGCTCCAGCGGAGGATCCCATGGACGGACCCATTCGAGCGGGCGAGATCCACCTAGATGGATCATCCCAGCTATCTTCGAGGCAAAAGCGGAGAATCATCCCAATAGTCCACTCTAAAGAGACAACGATCAGAGGAGATATGCTCTTTCGCCTCTTACTCTCGTACTCACCACCCAATTATTTTTATGGAAGCAAATCTCCCACCAAAGAAAAACCTGTATAATGACATTATCATCATCACGATACTCATACACAACTACCAGGTGGGCAGCATCCTGGTCGATACTAGAAGTTCTGTGAATGTCCTATTCAAAACAGTATTTGACAAGATGGACTCAAAACCGATAAGTTGGCAACGTCAGTCGGTTCACTGTTTGGCTCTCCGAGCAAGGCCCTAAGCGTAATTCCTTTGGCCGTCTCATGGGGTGAACGAGAGAAGTAATACATCAACATAGAAAGCTTTTGGT